CCGGCGACGTTTCCGAATAAGTGCACGAGGATGTCGATGCAGACTGTGCACTGCCTGTCGAACGGGTACCATGCGATGGTGAACAGTGCTCTGAACAACCAAGTGCACCGCACAAAACCATCATGGCCTTTGTGCAGCGATAGTCATTCTCTAAAATACGCTAATACTGCCAACAACAAGATAATTTTATGCGCACCAATCGCAGTGCGCCGCCGGAAGTGAAGAACCCCCTTCCAAACAGCCATTAGGATCTCTTAAAGTTATGGCATCCGCCTCGAGTCCGCGGATTTCAAAAACAATTTTGCGCGTACTGAGAGCCACATCCGCAAGAACCGTTTTATTCTTTTCATCCTCCTCTCGCGAGAACGGTCTTTCATTTTCTTCATTATTCATTTGTGAGAATTGTTTCCTTCTCGTCTTTCCCCATTCGTGAAAGCCACTTCATTTTCTTCACTCTTCATTTGCCAGAAACTTTTCATTCTCGTCGTTCTCGGTTCGTGAGTATCGTTCTATTTTCTTTGTCCTCTACGACTTTTGACGCTTTGTTAACAGCTGGGATCGCTTTAAGCAACGAATTAAGGAACAAAGTAAGTGTATAAGTGACTGCTGTACCGAAAGGAATGAAAGCGAAAATGTTGGGTTGTAAATGAGTGTTCGCAGCTGTGGGATATAAGTGAATAAAAATAAAGTAGAAGAAATACGAATATAGAAATAATAACACGAATATAGGTAAGTATAAATAATAATACCCCGTTAAAATTTAGAAATAATAGTCTAAATACAGAAATAAAGATACAAATATAGATAGGAAGAAATCAAAACCATTCCTGTAAATAGTTGTAATGTATTTATCACCTAAGCGCAACTACTCGCATCAAGTTTTCGGGACATGTGCTATTATCCATCCTCCCAACGAAGAAGAGGTGCCGAGTGACACACCGAGTCACCTTCGTATCAAATAATCCTCATCACAGACTTGCGTTTTTGGCTTTCACCCCATACCTGATTTTACTCATTTAAGACATCGTAGAAACCGGTGTGACTAATCTGGAATGATAATAAGTCACGTAAAACTGAGTTCCTGTGCAAAGCGCTACGAATCCGCTGCTGGGACCGAATCAGCGTGGATCACCCATAAGATGCAAAAAGCTTCTTTCCCCTACGTATTATTTACACTCTACTAGTAGAGGATATCTTTATATTTGTTTTAATAAATGGCCGCTTAATCTCGATATGGGAACGGGGAAGAAATGCGGATGTTCCTACAGTTCTTAGCCGTCACCAAAAACTAGAAACAGATAAACATAAAAAACAACTCTATTTTCAAGTAATAATGCATACTGTCAACCCTTATCGTTTACAAAAAAAATAAGATCTACAGAAGTAGTCCTATAAAAAAAGATCAGTTAGGGGGATCAAAGAACTTTTCGCAGTTAGATAGCCATCATGAGCGTGTTTCACCCTCTTTCTTCCTCAACCACTGAGAGGTAGAGCTGCTCTAACATTCTTAGATTCGTTACTACTCAGTACGAATTACACTCCGTTTCACAAAAATATGCCAGAAATGCTATCTTTCACTGATTCCTTTCCACCCAGGTAATACACGTTCTACTGATGTTGCGGTACAATTTATACTGGCGTGCCTGAAAGACGGGGAGGAGGGGGGACAAGGGACGGAAGGAACGTGAAAAAAAATACCGACAAAAAGTCCATTTCTTCAAAGGTTATTTACAATGTGTGACATA